AAATGATTGAAATTATTTTTTAAAAAGTTAAAAAATTAAGCTTATTTATATAAATATTCCTATATACCAGAAAAAAATACAAATAGTACATTAAATCAATATTAATTTAGCAAATTGATTTAATCCAAAAGTTCAGTTCATTGGAATGATAATACCATCATCCCTAAGGAATGATAAAACAATCATCTCTAAGGAATGATAAATGCATCATTCTTAAGAATGATAAAATCATCGTTTTTTAGGTATGATAATACTATTATCCTAGAAAACGATAAAACTATCATTCCTTAGGTACAATAAATGCATCTTACCTAAGGAATGATAAAACCATCATTTCTTAGATATGATAATATCATCATCTCTAAGGAACGATAAAATCATCATTCCTTAGAAATGATAAATGCATCTTATCTAAGAAATAATAAAACTATCATTCATTAAGTACGATAATACTATTGTACTTAAGGAATGATAAATGTATCGTTTCTTAGGAGCAATAAAACTATCATTCCTTAGGTATGATAATTCTATCATCTCTAGAAAATGATAAAACTGTCATTTCTAAGGAATGATAATATTATCATTTCTTAGATACGATAAAATCATCATACCTAAGAAATGATAATACCATTAACTCTAAGGACTGATAATACCATCATACCTTAGGAATGATAAATCATCATACTTATGGTATGATGAATACATCATTCCTTAGAAATAATAAAACCATTGTACTTTAAGTATGATAATACTATCATTTCTAAGGAATGATAATACCCTATCATTCCAATCAGAAGTCAATTGGTTATAAATAAGATAGATTGAATTTTGATATATACCAATCAACAATAAGTATACCAATCAGTTATAAATAAGATAGGTTGAATTTTAGCTGATTTTTGACTGATTTCTGATGTATGCCAATCGGCTAGGCTGATTTTTGATAATTTACCAAATTTAGGCTGAATTTAGGCTGACTTTAGATCAATTTTCACATGTTCGATTTTTTTGATTTCGACCAGTGATATAATATATACATATTAGTTATTGAAAATTTTCCATTGTTAAAAGATCTAAAGGTAGTATTCTAGTAAAGTAAATACATTAGTAAAATATTGATGTAAAAAAAGCAAAAAATAACCAATAAAAAGCAAACCCTTTCAGCAAGATAATGACCTAAGCATACTTCTTATGATGTTTAAGATAACTTAAAAACTCACCTTTCAGGTCAGGTTCTTTCTTGACCTTTCTATAGCCCTAACCTTAATCCTATTGAGAATGTTTGGGCTATTTTAAAGAAAAATGTTGAGAAAGAAGTCAAGAGAATAGTGGTACAAGAAAAAAATCTCAAAAGAAATTTTTTTAAATTTAATTAGAAAGGAATGGGATGATATTGAAAACATCACAATAGTTAACTGCATTAATAGTATGTCAAGTCGCATTAAAGCGCATGTATTGACACAGAAGGAGGCCATACCAAATATTAATCAATTAATAAAATATATGTAATTTTGGTCGGTCTTTCAGAAAATAAATTTTTTTTTGATTTTTTATTATAAAATTGCACACAAATTATTAAAAAACCGAGGGCCATTACTTTCGCCGGGGTCTGTAATAATGTCTTTCTATCATTCACGTGTTATTTCTTTTGGTAGAATATGAATTAACTTGGCACGCTCCAATATTTCTAGTTTTAAGTCTTAACATTAGGACGCAACATGAATTAGCTGGGTGTGAGCGTAACAATGCAGAGATTGCATGTAAATAGTAGAAACAAGTTTATTAACCGCATGGGATGTAATATTCTTAATGATATAAAATATAAAGTAATATTTTTTACATTCCAAAGTTAAATTGATCCCATTTCTTCATTTTTTCAATAGTATCTTATTTAATTAACCTTAGTTGATTCGTCGTCGTAATTGCCACTCATCATGTTTTATATTTATACAATTTTTATATTAGATCAATGCCTATTTTTATTACATGTGCAGTACAACAAATATCTCATAAAATCGAAAACTTGAAGCAGCAATACATACATCTATATTTAATTAATGAAAAAAAAAAGAAAATGATACATTTTAATATTTTTATAATTAAATTAACTTGAATTTTTAAAAATAACTAATTTTGAATATTGAATAAGCGTAAAGAATTGTAAAGTTCACATGTAGTCGTTCGGAATTTTTTTGATGATATCATGTACAAGATCCCATTTTCAAAACGTAACCCATGGTTGAATTGGTTCGAAATCGTTTAAAAAATTATTGTCAATTTTTTTTTTCTTAACGAATCACGAGAATAATGAATAAGATAAGGGAATTAATCCTGTGTAGTTCAACATTCACTACGCGCAAGTATGAATTGCAGAAATACTGTACATATGTATATGCCGAATAAAGATGATAATTTGGCAATAAATTCATAAATATCGGGACATCCATCATTTTTATTAGAAACTAGATATAAATAAAAACAACGCATTGTGCTCGCCGAATCTAACGATATATATTTTTTTGTCTTATTCTGAGCTTAATGAATGTACAAAGTATTTCGGCTTGTCCCGTATATTTTGAATTTTGCTGTAATAAAATATAAGATGTAATAAAATGATAAGTATTAAAAATAATTTAAAAAAAAAAAACATTAAAATATTTTAAATTAGGAACTTTTTTCTGATGCGTCTTCTAATACCTCTTCCATATTTTTTACTTTATGGAAAGTTACTATAGAGACGTTTAAGAAAATTTCATACAACCAATTGCTGCCAAGTTCATACTATAAAACTAATATGAGCGACATCATATGGACGTCGTCCATCACGCTCACGATATCGTTTATAGAATTTATTAACTGCATAACTTTATGCAATTTCATAAAAAGAAAATAATTAATGAAAATTTGTTGATTTAAATATCATTCAAAACAAATAAAAGTAAAAAAGCTTTATAAACAGATGTGTAAAGCATTCAAGAGCATCAAAGAGGCAAAATTTACAATCTTGACCCTCCTCATGCTATTTTCTCGATCAAATATGCAGGTTTATGTGTAACAAAAATATGTGATAATTCATTATGTGATGATTAGCATCAATCCGTTTTTCTTGACCAGTTTTCGTTTTACATAATTAACAGCTCCCTCAACTGAAATAACTCATTTTTTTGATTAATTCAGGGAGTTTTTTTTTTTTTTGACTCTGACTCTTTAAACGAATGTTTTAAGTAAAGGGATCGCATTTAAGAAAATATTCTGCAGCTCGACTGAATGGAAGGAACATTTACAGAATTTCTGCAGTATTATGCTGAAATTAATGTAAGAGTAAAAGTGAGAAAAAATACTTATACATCGTCGCGTTTTATTATATCATGTAACATATATTTTATCTAATAATTAATTATCATATTTCAGGTATATTTTTTGATACCATATTTTGATCGGGTCAAAGAACGTAATTTTTGCCGCAGTCATAATGCTTCCTTGTCCACGTGTTGTCAAGCTACCCTTGTCAAAAAAATTAACTGCGCACGCTTGATGTGATTATCGAGCCTAAATTTGTATAAACGATACTACATATACAAATGTCCTAATGAAGTAATTACGTCAGCAGTTGATACTTTAGGGAATTTATTTATTTATTAATTTGTATAATAAAAGAGAAACTTTACAACATTTTCATGCTTTGGAATTCGAAAATACATTATGTGTAACACTTATGACCAACAGTTGTACATTAAACTTTAAAAAAAAAATATCTTTTGACATATCAGCTGATGTATTGTTTTGTAAAAAAAAAAATTCTCTATCAACATATATTTAGAATGATAGCATCATGGTTCCAAAAATATTATAAAATTCTTCCATTGCACTTCTACAAGGAAAGTTAAGTACCCATTATTGTGTTTGTCTCAATAAAGAATTAAAAAAATAATTTAATTTTATATACCTTTTTACTCGTGTCCGCATGCTTCCTTCAAGTCTATTAATCTCCTTGACCACCTCTCTTAGAGGAAAATCAGAGTTATTGTTTACGTAAATTTTTCTTACAAGTACGATGATTTTTATTCGTCTTCGTACGTCCTCCAGCTTTGTTTTTCTTGCGATCCACAAAATCACGGCGCTTGGTGATCATACAAGTCGTTTCAATCTTGATTGGAAGGTTTAATTCTTCTTTAATTTCTTCCCTGACATTCGTAATGAATTGGTTCGAGTCTTCATGCTTTATCGGTGTAAATCCACTTAATTTTGGTACATGTCTTAATGATAAGAATTCATTACATTCGGGTTCTTGCTTTCTTGACAAGATTTCATTATAATCGGGTACTTGTAAGGATTCATTACATTCCGGTCCTTGCTTGATTGGTAAGATTCCACCATACTTGGATCCTTGCTTTGGATCCATCATCGTGTCGCGAGTAAAATAATGTGTGATAAATTCACATGGAGGATAATGAATAGGTAACGAAACAAAATTTACAGGTCTATAATGCAAGTGCAAAACTCCAATAGGAATGCTATACAAAGATTGTAAATAATTCATATTGGGAATGGTAAGGCCTAAAGGGTTAAAGGTCACATCAAAGCCTGTAGAGATTGTAATATCTCTGGTAACCTTTCTTTCCGGTAGGACGAGTTGTCGGATGTCAACTTGTGGCATGATATCACATTTTTCGTTAATTGACCTTGCCCTGTAAAAATACAAGGAAACCGCACCAAGACCTCCATATCTTGTGTTAAGATCGAAACCGTCACAACCCTCGGGTTGATATGCATCAGACCAAATGGAATGATTGAATTTAAAGAAATATTTTGTGGATTTATCAGATGATAAGAAATGATCTCGCGAATGGAATTCAGTATTATAAATTTCCACGTAACGATAGTCCAATTGACCATCAATAACGAGATAAGCCATTAGGGGTGAGCAAGGTGAAACTGATGATGAGGAGAACCTAACGGCAAAGTTTGAACCAAGATCTCGTACTTTGGCCAAAGTGATGGAATCACTAATATGCCATTGTCCGGTCAATTCATTAAAAACGTACGAAGGACCGGTGGAAGTCTATAAAAACGTGCCCAAGTTCATCATTTTTTGTATGATGATGAAGGAAAAAAAAAGAATTGCGCTACGCTACATACGGGTACTTTTAAATTTCTCACGGGTTCGCTAAGCTCGGGAATAGGTGAGCCGTCAACAATAATTTCCAATGTATATGGTCCCAACAACATTATTTTTCTTTCTTGATAGATTGAAAATAGAAGTCGACAAGAACTGAGGATGTATTCAATATTTATGAGAAACTTTTTCTATTTCTTTTTTTTTTTTTTTTTTTTTTTTTTTTTTAGAAAAAATCATGACTCCTTCTATTGTTGAAGTTTGTTGAAGTTTGTTTAAGAGTTTATTATTAATTCTGAAGCGTTATAATATTTAGTCCGTGTGAAAGAAAAAAAAAAATAAATGATTCATTATAATTTCTTATCGAAATGACATCAAATTAGAGTTTTAAGGAATTATGAAAGAGTATTTAATTCCGGCCGTCAGCAACATTTAAATTAAAAAATATCGTATTTAAGTGATCATCACCAGCACGACCAAAAAATAAAATTGGACGTTTCAAAGCTTAAAAAAAGAATCTGCCTCTTCTTTCCTTCTTTTGCTGATTAAAGCTTCCAAGTAAGGCTCGGCGCTTACAAATTGCAAATCCAAATTTCCCAAATACACTTTATTATAATAACCTTTCATATGTAATGCAAATGTACGGTCCAATTGGTGATTTTCCGAATAATATTAAAGTATGCGGGGAAATGGCTGTTTTCTAATTTAATTGAAGAAACTCGAATATTACTCGACAAAAACGCCTTTATAAATCGCAAATGAGTTGATTCGCGGTTTTATGAAAATCAGTTTCGGTATATCTAATTAAAGAATAAAAGTTACGGAGATGAATCGGCTGAAAGGAAAAAGGGTTTATTATTTTCCCCTTTAACATTCTTTATAGAAATATTAAAAAGCATATTAAATGATTATTCTACGCACAATTAACCTCAAATCGTATGTGAAAAAAAAAAAATATTAATCTTTTTTTTTTTGAAGTATCATTTATTATTTGCTTAATAAAGGATAAATGATTCCAATTTTGATCCTTGTATTTTGTTTTTCCCAATTCACACATTGTTAGGATGATGTTTGTGTATTTATTATCTTTTTTCGCACAATAAGGTTTGTAACAATAGAACATAATAAAGTTACGCGTTGTAACCTTTATTGATAATTGCACATTAGGTCATTGTAATTAGCCATGGTGCGAGTGTTCAAAGTTGTTATCATCATGTCACCTGCACTTTTACCGAAAAAGTTAATTAATCTTTAAAAAAAAAAAAAAAAATTTTTTTTTTATTTTCTTAAAGTGCTCTCATTTGAATTTGCTTTTTTTTTTAAAAGTAACCATAAATCATAAATTTCGGTGTATATTTAAGCCCGCGGAGATCGGGGTAAAAAAAACTTTTGGGGTAAACTTAAATATATATCGGTTTCTATTTACAGATCACAAAACTAAACCGTTAATATAAATTATACGATGAACTTTTAAGTTAGACCAATATTTTTTTTTGATTGATAAGACGATAAATTAGTATACGTTAATGAGTAAATTTTAAGTTTAACTTTTTTTTTTTTTTCTTTTGACCAAAATTGTGATCGATTTGATATAGATTATAGATGAGCGTGAAATTTGACCAAACGCGATTATCTTTGGAAGAGCATCGTCAAGCGACATTCAAATAACTCTCATGTGTTTCAAAAGTAATTTAATATTCACATCGAAACACAATCACATGTCACTTCTAATTGGTCGGATATTACTCTTCAATATTGATAATCACAATTTTATCTATTGATATCACTTACCAGGTAAAATTAAAATTAAATTAGGATTTACATCATTACAAAATATTTTGAACGAACCCTTTCAATACTACAGTATTAAGATTTTGATGATCAGCGGCCTTAGGTATAATTTGAAAGTTATACAGCGTTTCATCTTTGTATTACGGAACAAAATGAGGTTCATTCGAATTTTTTTTTTTTTTTTTTTCTTTCCACATTTTTTTTAGAGATCTATAAAATTTCGCGTTAATGGATCCTTTTGTCGGGTTTTCTTAGAACGCCCATTTGACCTCGTTATGATGCCTAATTTGAATCGGTCATATGCATTATGTATCACCTTCTTCTTACGTACACGATGATGATGATGATGCTGATTTGCTCGATTCAGAAAGTTCTTTCTCTCATTTAAAAGAATGTGGTAACAATTAAAGGGTGATACGATGTTTTTTATTTACTTTTTTTTGTTGTTGAAAGAGAGGGAAAAAAAAAAAAAAAAAAAAAAAAAAAAAAGAGATTACATGCTAGATTTGTATTATACTCCTCATATAAGGTATCAGTAATAGAAAAAACCAATAAAAAGTAAAATAAAAAAAAAAAAATAAAGTTGGATTAACCGGGTATAATCAATGGAACGGTTTTGATTGGTCCCCTCGGTAATTTGTGTCGAAATTAATATTCTTTATTCCGAGAAAACCTTATCAATGATTTGCAAATTAATAAATTTCAATTAATTTAAATTTTCAAGCACGTTATTAACAAATACTTAAACGTAGTCGGTTTTTAAAGCACGGGATGGATTAATTTATCGCTTTTGGTAAGGTGAATGATTGCAAATCGAACATAAAGTGATCCCGTTTTCCGAAAAAATAAGGAATATTACTTTTATCCGATTGACATAATTCCGGTCAGAAAATCTGTAGATTATCCTAACCTATTATACGTTCATCGAAATCAGATAAATTGCAAATCCCCTTGGCAAATTACTATCAAAGGAAACCTAGGTTTCCGATTTCAATTTCAATTAATTGTTTATATATTGATAACCCTATAATGTTATATCCTTTTACATTATCAATCCTAATCCAGTATATTAAAATTTTTTAACCCAAAACAACTTTTATATGAAAATTTTTTTTGTCGTTATTCTATGAAACATGTATAAAGTAGTACATATATAAAAAAAAAAAAAAAAAAAATTATTGTGCAAAGACAAAATAAATGTAGGTCATTTAAACTTGCATCAACGAAAAAAATGTGAACACAAAATAATAATCCGATGATGTAATTAGTGCACGAAACAATCTTTTTTAAGGAATTTAATCAATCAGAGATATCAAAGCGGGAATGCTCTCTTATTATTCGAATCATAATTGAAAGGGATATGAAAGAATACATGTATATGTATATCAATCAATTACCATAAACGTTCGTAACCAAAAAACGTCAACATGATTTGACATAGATATTACGTACTTTCGTCTCCAAAAAAGACGGTGTCTCATCTATTCAAATCACGTGTTAATTAGCCATGCACGCCACGATGTTCGTGGACCACGATAAACGTATGAGCTGAGCCACACAAAGAACGTGTGCCCCGAATATGCCAATCGACGTTTTTGATGGCGCCGTTCTTTGTGATTTTCTAAACAAGATCAAAAGAGGAAGCTACTCAATGAGGTTGAATGCGGTGCCTGTTTCGAATCAAAAAATATTCCTGAATTTCCAAAAACAAAAAAAAAAAAAAAAAAGAGTACCGAAAAAAATTCCAATTTATATTACCGAATATGTTGCTATAGAATGTCGATTACCGGGGGAGAACGGGTGTGCGTCTTTGTTTGATGAACTTTAACGTATTTCATGTACAAGTAATGTAATGATTGAAGGATTTCACTTTCAAAAAAGCAAAGAAAATGGAATTCCCTTCGATCATGTACTTCTAATTTAAATTAACATTTGTGTAAGTTTTTGCTTATATAGGATACAATAGGATACAAAGAAACTTAAAACACTGATCACTAATTCACGTGTTTTCGTTTTATTTTTAAAATATCCCAAAAAGATTAATCAATGACTGCCAATGTGGTAATAATAATGCAAATGCGGTCAATCAATTAATGTAGATTACAGCGTAATTGTTTCATTATAATACCTTTCGTTTTTTTAAATTCTTTGTGTGTATAATCGTATGCTTTATTGTATTATTAGGATGTTCTCCGCAAACCAAATGTGAACTAAACAGGCTTAGCCCCGTCCAAGAATACTTTCAAATGTTTTAAGGAGTTGTTATAATTAAAGTTATTATTATTTGATTTAATTATTTATTTATTACAATAAAAACAACATTCGATATTTTCTTGGCGATTTGCTGACAATTCATTATGTTCATTATAATATAATCATCATTGACAATTTTAATCCAAATGCGGATAATTGTTCCCGCCACAAAGGCATTTAACCCCATATTGACGTAACAACAATAAAGGCAATCTAAACTTTTATATCCATTCAAACACTTTTATTACATTTTCAACATCAAATCATATGCTAATTAAAGCCACAAGTAATAAAATTTAAACCAAATAAGTCAATAAAACAATATTATTGTTTCATTTTTGTTGAAGAGTCAAAAAAAAAAACATTTCCCCAAATGATCCCTTTTAATCTTCCCCCATTTTTTTTTTTTTTTTTCCTCAAGTCTGTATATAATTTTGGAGGTAACGTGGCAAAATATTTTTGGTTTTTTTTTTTCATGTAAAACCTCCGAATTATTTATGTTATGGATGAATCTTTGTGTGACAAACTATTTTGTAAAGATTGCAATGTTCTATAAACCCAAAATTGGATAATTTATTTTTCATCGGACCTTTTTTGACAGAAAAATTTTTTTTTTTTTTTTTTTTTTAGAGGAATAAAAAATCGACAATTGGGAAACGTACCCATTAAAAAAAACAATAATATGATTCTCACTGCTCGAATTCTCTTTGGTCATTTGTAATTAAATGTTCAACCAATAAATATCACACACAATAGGGAACAAGTTAAAATTATGTAACGGCCGTTATGATGCTTGAATGAGAAAAAACCCTTCTATTGATTTCTAAATATGTACCTATTATTTAATGCGCATTGACATCGCAAAATGGGGGGATTTAAGAGTGGTTTGAATGAAAAGGGTATAAAAAAAAAAAAAAAAAAAAAAGGTTCGATCGAAGTTCAATGCAGCTTTTGTTGTGGTTACGCATTTCATCATAGGTAACTCATTTATTCATTCAGGCTCATTCTATCTGATTGTTCATCACCATTGAAATTATCGAGTCTGATCTTCCCTCTATCACCTATTTGATTTAACGATACGATATATAATATAATGATATCTTCAATAGTCACATGTACAACAAACTTTACTTATTGTCTTTTCTGTCTTGTGACACGTGACACGCGCATCTGGAATGATTTCAGCGAATCTCGTATGTCACAAGGGTTTATCCACCCTCTCTACATTTTACCTCATCTTAAAGGAAATTACGGCGGATCTTACCGAGTGTCAAAAAAAATCCTGGTCATAGTGAGTGAGGAAAAAGGCAGGATTACATATTCCACATTCGCGCCAAACGATTAATCGTGGGCGCAGCATTTATTTACAGATGTTTTATTGATTCTTCCGAAAAAAAATCCTGGTGTGATACAGCCAACCTTACTCCTTGTTTCAATGTATGAAACGACAATGTATGCGTATGTGATGTATTAATTAAAAATATTATTTGATAAACTATAAACTGAACCTCTTAGTAAGAAATCACGCCTTTTTTTTTTCCTGGTTACCTTCTTAGATTTTTTATGCGCATCGACGAAATAGGCAATTAGCAATGAGAACGGTGGGCTTGCGTTTAAAAAAAAAAAAAATTTTTTTTCTTATTGCGTAAAACAAAAAAAAAAAGAACTTAAGAAGTATAATATTAACAAGTCATTATTTATACAATGAATAAAACCGTGTAACTGGAAATTTTGATTGTTTTTATTTGATGATTATACATGCTGCATACAATGCTTGCCATGTGTTTGTGCTTCACTTTGAAAGTTGTTGAAAGCCTGAGAAAAACGATTATTATATTAAGTAATGAAAAACATGGAAATATTTGATCAATCGAGGGGGGAACCGAAGGGTTACGAAACATTGGAATTACTTAAAGCGGCACCAGAGAAAAGAATGATATTTTCAATATCCTTATCAAATAAATTACGATCGGGAACTTATCTATGAGATAGCTTATCGTTCATTGAATGAATCATTCGGAAAACCGGGAAAACATTATCTTTTCGCCTTTAACAGTAATTTGCTCTAGATAAATAATTACGCCGCCATTAAAAATTCGCATTTTACGTTGATTATCTGATTATCCTATAGCCTGTGGTATCATCATTAATTATGGGATCTTCCGTTCGCAGGGAAGGAAGAAAAAACCGGATAAATATCTTTCTTTGGCAACGACTCTCCGGTTCATAAATATGACGAATTTCGAAACAAATAAACACAGGATTCTGTTACATTGTCGATACGTCCGTGTAACAATGCATGAAGGGAGAATAAGACCCACCGTCAAGTCAAGTCAATTTTTGATCATTGCTACCCATCGTGAGAGAGATTTTTTTTTTTCGGAGAGCAGGATTAAATAATTAGAAAAGCTTCAAGAAATCTCCTTATTTAAAGGGTTGGAGAAATTTGTGTCACACAAATGCGCCCCAGCTGCATGATGACACCGGGCCCGGTGAATGGAATCGGTCGGTCAACACCCGTGACACCACAGAATCTTAAAGCATAACTCTTGCATTTCCAAAAGACATTATTATTAGTATTATAGATTTCTAAGAAGTCATTCTAAATAAGAGAAAAGCGTTACGAAGCACAATTGCATAATCATAATCATTATAGCAAATAAATAAACAAAAAGACATTGTCGGAGTAAACATTATTTACCAAAACAAGCACAGGTTGGCTGAAACCTTACTTCAATAGGAAAGATAAAAACTAAAAGGATACGATAACAATTGGCTGAAAAAACGAAAAAAGGAATTCTATTAGAGAATTTTATGTTCTTTTTTATCAATCGAGATAAATTTTTGGTTAGAAAAGTTGACAAATTTCCAGAATTATGACGGCATTCTGTTTATTATTAATGAAAATAATGACGGGTGAACTTTGGAACGTTTTCTTGAACTTGACGTAGCATTTACATTCATTTCATTATCATTTCTTAATAAAGCCTATCAGTTCCGAAAAACATCACTTTTGGCATAGTTCGGATCTTATTAGGATTTCAAAAAATTTTACATTTGGGACATATATCGGAGGTTTTCCCTTTAAATTTGTTCTTCTGGTCGGACAAACAGTTTAAATTTGTACAATAACAATGCTTGATTTTTGGAAATCCTATTAAACCGTTCAAAAACGAAAATATTTTTAAATTTAGGTTTTTACGGTGGAACGTTTTGGTGATAAAAATTCAACATTAGTTAGTCTTGTTTGCCCAATTCCAATTATTATTATTATTATTATTATTATTATTATTATTATTTTATTTTTTTTTATTATTATTATTGATTGATTAATTGATAGTTGTTTCTAATAAATTAGATGGTAATTTAAATTATGATTTTTTTTTTTCGTTTATGCTATATAATGAACTATTGAGATTATTATTGTCCTCCGGTGTCACTGTGAAAATTCATTTTATCCAGAAAAATTACCCTAAAATAGTAAAAAAAAAAATTTTTTTTTCATTTAATACTATCGGATCCTAAAAGGGCGTATCTTTTAATGCAATAAAGTATATAATCATGCATAAGAGAAAAAGATAATCATTTTATCCGAAATGAGTCGGGAAATTTCAATTGAAATTAATTCCGTTTAAATACAAGAGGGAATAAAAAAAAAAAATTTTTTTTATTTGTTATTTTATACTTATATAATCCTTTTTTAAATTAAACACAATTTACTGTGCGCCCCGAATATTTTATATATTATAATATATATGTATATATATGTGTATGTAAATAATATAAAAGTAAAATAAAAATTTTCTTTGTAAAAAAAAAAAAAAGAAAAAAAAAAAATTTTTTTTTTTTAATAAATATATACCATATTTACTATTTTCTATACACCTTTCATTGTTTCGGAAAACCTTTTATTATTAATAAGACAAAAAAAAAAAAAAAAAAAAAAAGTTATAAAGGTAAGAAATCGGAACCTTTTTTTTTTTTTTTGGATTCAAACTGCTAAATCTTGAACAAAAGATTTTTTTCCCTTCTTGATTTTTTTTCAAGCCACAAAAAAAAAAAAACCGAAAGCTGCGGTCGATACATAAAATAAATATATATATAGCTCTATTAAGCCAATAAAGATTATAAGGACTTATTACGAACCCAACTTTTTTTTTTTAAACGACGATATTTTTTATCAACGATTCCATCGATTCTATTTTCGTCCTTGATATAACGTTCTAATCTCTCCTTCTACATTAAAATGAATAATTTCAAGATGTCATATTATTGTTTCGAAACGACAAAAAACCATCGGCTTGTGAATCCTTACACTCCATATGGTCAACCATCATATCATCACCCTTCAAAAACCGAAATAGTCGAGCAGATTATTTCTGAAACGATTGATGAAGCGACACAACTCAAAATAAAAAAATACACGACTTTACCTTTACCAGAATTAATCACACCAAGCGTCAATGTAAGAACGGTTAAGAATCCAAGACCGCAAAATTCTTTTGTAATCTATAGAAGAAACGTACAAGCCGAAATCGCAAAGGAGAAAGGCACCAATGCCGCTGGCAGATTGGACTTTGTCTCAAAGTTCGCCGCAAAGAAGTGGAAGCAAGAGTCGCAAGAAGTAAAAGAATTGTATGGGTTTTTGGCCGTTTGCGCCAAAAAGGTTCACGATTACATGTATCCCGGTTACGTCTATCAACCAAAGAGACAAGCAACGACAAATGAGCCCATGATAATGGTGCATGAACCTGGCATAGGAGGTTATAAGCTCAGACCTACCATGCAAACCATTCAAACCATTCCAACCCCACCACAAACCCCTACCCCCTTGTCGTCTCCACCCGCAAGAAGAGCCATAAGATATGATTCAAGTCCGACCAATAATTCTTCGATGGTGACATCACCACATCACACAACCCAACTACCTCCATTATATCATTCCCCACCGATGACGAACGCTCCTCATCCATTACCCTCGTTGACATCATCGTCATCGTTCGGCAATGATCGTCATCTCGTGCGACAATCGCAAAGATTTCTACCTCCCCCAACTCTTGACATAAGTGACAATGCCATATCAACAAATTTCATGGCAAATTACGACAGGAGCTTGTGCAAGGAATTCGATCTGTATGGTCGATTGTAAAATATTTATAATGAGAGACTAGTGCGAATGAATCATCGACGGTTAGATTTCATTTTGTAAAATTGAAAATTTCTTTTTCCATGTTTTAATATTTTCTTTCTTTTTTCGCGTTAAATATATATAATTTCCTCTTTATTTTTTTTTTTTTTTTCTCTACGACTCTTCATTTTCTTGCATTTATTTTACGAGAACTTTTTGTAAAGGATTTATGAACGTAATTGCTCCTTTTTATGTGATGTGTAAAAATCTGTTTGTGAATACAAATTAATATGTAATTTAAAAAAAAAAAAAAAGTTTTGTATTCACTCACAAAAAATCATCATCTTAAAAAGGATTTAATATTAATTTTTTAGTATATTTTTATTTTCGTTTAATATTTTTCTTTTATTGCATGAAATTTTCATATACATTTTTTTTTATCCCCTCATTAAAAAAAATCCCAAGTATTAAAACCCCACGCTTCTTTTTTGTAATTATCCTTTTTTCTTTTTTTTTACATATGTTCTTTTTTTTTCTCTTTACGAAAAATCTTTCTTTTTTTTTAAAAAAAAAAAAACCATATAATCAACCATATAAGAAAACAAAGCATATAAAAAATTAAATAATAATTTTTTCGTTGCATCATACGTCGAGGAACACGTTCTTACATTTCATCTTTTTTTCCAATGTAATGAAAACTTGAAATGTTTGATTTTCAGTAAACAATTGTAAAATCGTTCGTGAAATTATATCGATATAGCGAAAATCATAGCATAAAAAATCGATCGAACAGTAAGCAACCTATTCATGCGATGAATTATACAAACGCGCCTTTATCTTTAGAATTCGCATTCACATCCACATATTATTTTAATTTTATCATGTTTATAATATAGACTTCATTTTACTTTATTTCTTTATTTTATCTTTTTAAATATGCAGTATAATATATATTTCTCTTTTTTTTTTTTTCATTTTAAATAAAAATATGTCATTTTAAGCTTTTGAAAAAAAAAAATAAAAATAAAATTTACATTTGGTAAAAATTCATTGAAAAATTCATTAAATGGACTGCTCACTGATAATGTTCACGTCCCCCCCCCCCCCCGTAAAGGTTGGGTTTACCATGTTTAATAAAAAAAATTTGTAAAACGTTACATCTAGAATCTGTTAAATTTAATGACATTGTCTTTGATCTATATCTCATACACGTTTACTTTAAATAATTTCGTCCGATTTATCTGATAAAAAAAAATCCCGACGCTGAGTTAGGAATGAATATCGTTTATTGTAACTAGTTTTTTACACGTGTCACACAAAAGATACGCGTTTAAGATTAACATTTTTCCATTATTAATTGCAAATCCGATAAGTTTTTTCAGAGGATGATAAAAATAGATAAAAAATTACGAATGATGTATCAAGCACTTTTTTGAAACTCCGAATAACAACTTCCGATTGTAAAACTATTATTATCATGATAGTGTATCTGGTATTGTTCAAACTTGAATGCGTTGATTTAGCCGCAATTGTTTCCTTTTTGTTTTTGCTCTTTCTTTTCTTTCTATTTTGTTCCTTCCATTCTTTTTGACGGCTCAATGAGTTCAATGAATTGCCGTTTTCCAAAAAAATAATAATTTCAAAATGAGGTCCCGAATTTGTTATTTATGTATAAATTAAAAATAGTAATTCCCTAAAAGTATTCAAGTTGGGTCATCATCATCGAACTGAATTGAGAAGTTGATCTACAATTAATGCAAAATCATTGAAAACCGGCGGACAGTAAGCGTATATATTGCGCATTGATCCGAATTATCCGAAATACAATAAAATCATAATAAAATGAGCTTCCTAATTCATGCAGTCATTCTATAACAGGTTCAGGTACTTTCTGAAACAGAAAAAAAAAAAAAACACGAAATCCAATTATCGTCGCTTAATTTATGCAAGATGAATGATCAAATCAAAATAAAATAAATAAATAAAAATAAAAAAAAAAAAAGTAAAAAGAAACTCGCAATAAACGACAAGTACTCGTAGGTTACAATCGTAATCCAAAAAAAAAAAACCTGAAACAGCGATAACGAAATAAAATTTGATTAATAATTGACATTCTCTCTACGAATTAGAATGCCTTGCGGAAAAAAGAGAAAAAAAAAATTTTTTTTTTTCTTTGTTTACTTTTTGTTTATGCCTGATTGTTTTTTATTATTAATTTTAGTGCGAATATGATCAATAAAAATTTATAATTGATCGAATGATAATTTTTTAAAAAAAAAAAAAATTTTTTCCGTTATCATTTAGGCGGAATTAACTTACCAATGAAAAAGTACCGAATCAAATTTTTCACAAATTAAAATACCTATCAGTAAACAAATATAATAATAGAGTTTGGGCTTGGGTGTTTCTTATCAATAATTCTAAAATGTAATTTATAATTTCCATCTATATCCATAAAACAAATAAAAATCTAAATGATTATGATAATGATAGCATTACAATGATTAAATATTATCAGAAATAACTTGTCAATGTCAATATTCGTGCAACCTCTTAATTCCTCGTGGTTCATTAAAAAGAATGAACTAAACTGAACTGAAACAATGCATGTACAAATACTTATGATATGTTACAACATTTCATCCTGTTAACTCATAAAGTCTTTCGTTCGGTGCAAATATGGTAGGACATGATAATCTAAATGGTTTTTCAAATACATTCACGTATTAAAAGATGAATGTGTCAAACAAACATTTTAATTATTCTAATCATAAAAATTAAAAATTCTACGAGGATCAATCCAATAATAACAATAATAACTGTGAATAAAAAAAACATAAACAAAAAATAAGTTCCGCTGCTGTGAATTACTTTATCAAAGACAAAGCATGCTTCTAATAATCTTTGCATGATCTCATGCGTTACGTACGTGTTCTTCTTCTTATTACCACAAATATTTGATCACCGAACGTCCAGTTTTTGAATATTTATGAAGCAAACAATGGTCATGTATACCAAATATTCAGTTACGGAAATTAGAATCACCGATTTCACTGCGGCCCAAACTTTCGTTTAACTTGTGCAAAATCTATAGCGCTGTATTGTCCTGCATTAACCCACATCACAAATATTTTATTTATATGCACTATGCGGACTTTGTGGTTATATATTAATTCAATCATTGCTAATAAATGCGGTCTAGGCTCTTTGATTTTTGAATTAACTTAAATCGAATAAATATTGTTACGACATAATTTGTGACTCATAACTTTATGTATAAACGTTAATGCAAGCTCTATGTCAGTCGTCAAAACAAATTAGTCAAAGGATCAAAGCGAAATGCATAACATTCGCAATAGGTGATTAATAAATTATTATCTAATAGGCTTATTGAAATATATAACGCAAAAGAGAAAAAATAACATCGAACATATAAACATTTCATTTACTAGGCCTCTTTCGTATTGCTAAAATCATGTAATTATTCTTTGAATAGAAGGAAATTTTTCGTCCAACTCAATTATCTATCTGTAAATGATAAATTTATTCTTAAAAAATTATCATATATTTATAGAAATTAAACATCTTACTGAAATAATTCTTTTTTTTTAAAAAAAAAAAAATTAATATGCAAAAAGCTAATAGACTAATGAAGTAACGCGTTACCATGTGGAACCGCAGTTGATGCGATTATCAAAAAAAAAAAAAAAAAAAAAAAATTGCGTCTAAATTTCAACGTAAATTTTAAATCCAAATTTGGCCAGTTAAATATTTATTAAAGCTAATTAATTTGAACAGATATAATACATTTCGTCTATAACCTTATTTTTTTTTTGATAACAATTTTGCCGCACAAATTATTTAAAAATTATATCTTTTAATTCAATCAAATTTTTCACTTTGTCTTCTGAAAAGTATTTATCATTAAATGCTTTGGGGATAGTTAGTTGTAAATTATATGTTGGTAAGAAGTCGGGCATATGTGATAAACGAATGGTATCATCTCTCTTGAATTTTGTAAATCGGACATAATCGATTAACTGTAAAGGTTATTAGGTTAATAATTTGATAAAAAGTAATAATTCTAGGGATATATACTTACAATTTCATTTCTTTCAAATGAAGGTTGAAAATTATCTAAGGTGTCATTAATTTCATATGATGGTTGAAAATAATCTATGGAATCGTCATTTTCTATTACAAATGGAAGGTATATTCAATCCAACCTAATTCAACAAGTTTCTTCAAATATTCATATTCTAGAGTATGCATCTTTTTAATCTTGCCTTCTTAAATTAAATAAAATTAAGTCAATATAGTAAATATTTGTATGTATATCAATTTGTAATGCATTAAGTTACCTTATTTCCTGTAACTAAGCTAAAATTCATTGAACAGGATTTGGATATTTTCTTTACACAAATTCTTCAGACAACATAACAATAATATTGAGAATCTTTTCAAAATAAGGTGATGAGATATTTAGGTAAAGTAAATGATATTATATCTTCACTACTCAATATATATCCTGATAAACTAATTATTTACAAAAATCTTTTAAAGCTTATATTGACGATTTATTACAGAATATAAAAAGGTTACCTGTCTTTTGACATTCTTCTTGAAAGTGTATAGTTCAATAAAAAGCAAATCCTTTTTACTTTAAAATGTATTAGACATTGTTGTTATATAATTAAACAAGAAAAAATTCATATTTTACCTTTATACATGCAATGATTGAATAATAAAAAGTCTAATTTTTTGATATGCTTAAAACTATAATAGCTTTTCAATACTTTAATATGATATAAATACACCCAAAAAATGTTATAATTTTGAAATAAATATATAACAAAGATATTTTCCTCAGAAATTTCCTATAATTCATTAAAATATAATAATGCTTGATTATAATCTTTCGTTTTAATACATAATATACAACTAATATAAAGTGATAAATTAATGTTGAAAGTTTTATTAACCATTTGAATCTGTAAATTATATAAACCTATGTGATGATA